TAAATCCATAGACAACTAAAAAATATATTCTAAAACGCATACTAAGTCTTAAAACACTACAACAAAACACAATAATTTGAATAGATTATCTAAAACACAAAATCACACGAGCCGTTTGCAGATAGATCGAACACTGAATTGAGAGTAATGGAACGATAAGAGGTTTGGGTTGCTTGTGCTGATCTATGAATACCTCGAAACTCGTTTTCGAGCAGAGCATTTACTCATTAAAACCGCAAGTAAATAAAAACTCAATTTGTCTAATGTTCTTTCTCAGAAAATGCTTCACAGATTAATGGTAGCAAGTCATACTTGATGCACTTACTTTATTTACTTCCATCGGACTTGTTCCGAACATGCATTTTACTAATAATATTTTGATTAACATAAATCAAATAAATAAAATATTTAAAGTAACTAAAGGCCTCTCACTCATCAAGTGAAGTGCGAAATTGTTTTTGTTACTTAAGCCTGAAGTTTACTTAAGATATAGACTATTCTAAAAATGGTTGGTTGTTTATTATTAGAGAAGGAAAATACATATAAATAGATAATATATGTGTATTAACTTTGTTCACCAAATATTTTTATTGACATAATAAAGAAAATAAGAACCGTATTCTGTTATAAAGAATTATCCAGTACTTATTTAAATAGGTGTTCTTTAGATTATCGATTTGAAGTTGCAAGTCTTTGCTGGTAGCTTTGCTCACTGGTACCAGCGTAGGTACAGAATAAATATTGGGCAAGACTAAAGAGTAAACCGCAATAACGAGGAAGAATATGAATACCAAGGGTATTCTAAAAGTAATGACAAATCGATTCAAGTCTTTTCTTGTTTTTTTTTTCTTTACCAAGAAATAAATGTATCGAAAATCTATGTAAGTGTTCCTATTAGAACAACCGTTTGTAATGTCGGATTTTACACATACTTCTAAAGTCACTTTTAGTAGGATGCGTTGGATCTTTGTCATGATTTCTGCTGCTATTGGCTGGTCTGTCTGCCATTTTTTATGGAACTTGCACATGTTAGATATTAGTTTACTTATTCTGAATAGCTATACTTCAACTGCAATAGCACGGGGCTTCGATGCAAAAGTAGTGTAAATACTGTTTAAAGCAGTCATGTTCGCTTACCATCTGCAGTACATAAAATATACTCCGCCATGTCTTCTATTCATCAATTTTCTATTTCCCGGGAAAAAATTCGCTGCAGTTAGCGTGTCAGTGTGTCAAACAGTGACATTATCGCTATATGACCTGACCAGATAGTAGGTTGTTATAAAACAGCTGCTATATTTAGTTTGCATTTACCCAGTGCACTACCCAAACGTGATTAATACGGCGTTTACATTGACCGAAAATGGCTCATTTTGGTCAAAAATCGAAAATGAGTATCGAATGGCTCATTCTTGCATATAAAATTTCAACCACAAAAATGAGCAATTTTCTCACATTCTGTATGAAAGACGTTCGAATGCATTCCACATATGTTCCAAATGCAAAGGAATACATTGAACATACCATAAATAAAAGCTTTTCATAGCATTTTGACAGTTTGAGAAAGCTGTTTTTGACATATTTACAAAAAAGGTAAACAAATGTTTGGTGGTTGCATTTTCTTGAAAACGATGCAATTCTTTTTAGAACTTTAACTTCCCAAAAAGTAATTAATCGAAGTTAAAAATATGTTTTAAGTTTATATTGTAAGGTTTGAAGGCATATTTAACCTTCATGCAACATTTTTTTGGCACAGGCCAAAAATCAAATCAACATGCAAGTTGAAAAATCAGCTGTTTGAAATGAGAACAATTGAAATACAACTAATGTAAACACTTTCAAATGGCTCATTCAAAATGAGCCATTTTCGGCCAGTGTAAACGCCATATAAGGATCAGAAAGTTCTTAAAAAATTCAAACGGAACCAAGTGCAGTGAATCAATAAATGTATTAAATGTATTAAAAAAAGCTTTAAGAGACGATACTGTGTCACAAACACGAGTTTATGAAAGATAAATATTCTATGAAGAAAGTTGGGAAGACATTAAAGATAAGTTAAAACCTATACAATCAAACAGATTGCGTTTGTCTATTAACAATAGACGAGTTTCTATTAGAGACAGTTCTGTAAATATAGAAATCGAACGTAAGGGCTCAAACACAGACATTTGAAATTAGTAAGGTAGGAGTTAACAATCGCAGGATCATGCAATATTATTCGAATGCCTGATTGCTACCAAACGGGACATCAACTTGTTTGTCTGAAAGGGTCCCGTATGGTTTTTTAGCTCTCAACTCGACAATTGAAGCTCGTTCACTTTCTTTTGGGCTATTGAAGCAACTACACTTAACTAAAAACTGGGTTTTATTAAAAAAATCATTAACTTATAACATTCAGGCGTAAATTTCTACCTTAAATTTCTAAAAAGGTTAAAATAAAAGCCTAACCCTCTTATTCAGAATTCTTAAATAATAGTTAACGGAATATATACGTATTAAGTTTTATTGGCACATTTCATATAGTAAGCAGATGATTTTTGATGATATTGGTGATATTGGTGGAGTTTTTAGCCGAAAACTAAGACACAACCAACGCTGTGTGAGCCGGTGATGTAAAATCCATGAGTTTTCCTTCCATAAATTTGACCTCTTTTTGGGAATGGACTCACGCAAACGACGCAAAATAATACTCCTTATTCACCGTTTGACTGTCCGGAAAGAATTCATAGTGTACCACACCACGAATATCAAAGAAAACAGTCAGCATAACCTTGATTTGGACCGACTTTGGCGTTCTCTTTTCGGTTTCGGCTTACCTTCGAAGCACCAATCGGTCGATTGTTGTTTGGTGAGCATGTCAAATTCATAGACCCATGTCTCATCACCAGTTATGATGCGTTCGATGAATGTGTGACGCTTTTTTTGAATGAAATTCAGCTAAAAATCGCCACGTATAGACGCCAAACAAAAACTAATCGTATGATATGCGTTAAACTTTAACAGAATGTGTGTAATAGTGTTGCCAGCGTGAAAATAAAAAAAGTTTACCGATTGAATAAGCACGGAAATTCAAAAAAAAAACGAATAAATTCTTTTTTGATCACAAGGTATATGATATTAATAATAAATTTTAGCTTTTCAAATTATAATCTTAAAATGTTTTATTTATATTATTTTTAAAATATTTTAACATTTATATAAATTTATTAAATAAAAAATCGCTTATAGCGCAGACTTTAATATTATCACTGAAGTTACTTAGTTAGGTTTAAATGGCATAGACTCGTACATAGTCCACGAGGAGTTTTGAATTTTTCCAAGTTGGTTTCCAATTGTCACGATCTTCCCAGAATTTCAGTGCCCCACTTGGCGATAAATTTTCCCATGGTTTTGGTCGGTAATAAGATATGCAGCCCTCTGGAAAATCAATATGTCCACCGGCAGCTAGACCAATGGTTATATAAAACTGGAATTGAAATAATTCTTTAAAAGTACTATTACAATATTTTTATTTTAATATTATATGTATTATTTTGAGTATTATAACATTCGTATTATTGTGCATAAAGGGTGTGCATCAGCAAAGAAGTCGGAGTCTGCCATATACATCACATACATGCGTAATTAAATAGTTTGGCTTAACAATTCGGCATTTGGATGCTCGTTAACTAATTTTGTATCCACTTTACTCTATGAACTAAACGAGTTAGTCTTCGTCCAAATAGATTTCGTGAATCAAGGTAGACATAGTTTAAGATCACTTTGTTAGGATTACTTAATTGACTACACATGTGAAGTCATTTCTGCTATAAATTAACTTTTACTCGTTTAGGTCAAAATTTTTATAAATAAAATTGAGATAAATTTAATAAATAGTAAATTATTGATATATAACCTAACTATATGTAGAAAAAATTAAAAAAAAATAAATTAAAGTATCCGTAGGTAGATTATACTGACGATACCAAGGGACTCACTTAAGCCCATAGGTACATTATGTTACCGTATAATTACAAATTCAAGGGTTAGAAACACTTAGAATCTTTGGCAAAGCAATGTATCGGTAAAGGTGGAGTTAATTTTGTTAATTTTGTTTTTGGTTTGTTTTGAATTATCATTAAGTTAAAATATCATTAAAATTAGTTTATCTTAGAATATCAAATCTATCACCTCTTTATCAAAAGGTGCCATCGAATCACCGCTTTTCCATGCACTGGAGTAACCCAAGTCTTTTGCATAAGTCTCTGCGAAATTTCCTTCAACTACTCCATATTCTTCACCATCAATGAAAAATTTGAAATTCTGCTTATTCCAAATCATTGTATAGTTATGGAATTCTTCACCGAAGTGCACATCGCGATATGTGCTTCTTAAAGTTTTTTCCCGGAATAGTGTATTTGGAGTTACAATTCCGCCCCCATAGAGTCGGCGACCATCAATGACATCATCATTTCGTGACATCAAATTCTCATTTCCTCTAGCAAAAGCAATGCGAATTTGTCCCGACTGATAGTTGTCGTGCCCGTAGAAATTTTCTAAAGGTTCCAAAAGCAACACTTAAAAACTCAAATTAAAAACTAATGAAATAAATAAAATAAAAGTGTGCCTTACACGGCAGTAGCCAATCTCCTTGCGGCAGTTTGGCGCGTATTTCAACTCTTCCATACATAAAACTAAAGGATTGCCTAGTATTCATACGTGCAGAAATTACAGGTGGTAACACGGTTGCAGCGATGCCATGTGCAACACGCTTGCACTCCAGTTCGGAATTTTTATAGCCAGTACATCTAAAACATTATTATAATTGTTATTTTAATAGTATATAGACTCAAATGGATTGAAATATACCTGTCGCCCAGGTTTAAACGCCCATGTTGTATGTTAGTTCCTGGCTTGTCGTTATTCCATAAGAGAGGAATTATTTCTACTTGTCCATCTTTAATACGAACGTTGGTATCATAGAGTGTAAATTCGTAGTCAAGCACATCTTGTGCAATACGCACTTCCTGCTTCCACAACTGTGAATTCAGTTTAACGCCATCAAAACTGTCTTCAAAAATTAATTGATCTTTGCAAGCTTGTCGTTTTCCATATGTGGTAATGGAAGGTAAGCAGTTGTCGTTTTTATTTTTGATTTCTATATCCGGATTAGTAGTGTTTGTATTCCTCTCTTCTTCTTTCTTTAAATCAATATTTGGGTTTTCGTTTGTATTATTAGTATCGCTAGTATTTTCATTGGATTTTTTTTCTTCATTATCATCCGTAACCTCTTCCTTACCTTGCTTATTAGTTTCGCTTGTGTTTTGACGTTTTGGTGGAATGACATTGCCTCTAATAGATTTTACAAAAATTGGGTTAGAAGTCGTCCGATATACCATTTTGTTATGTTGCACATTGATCCATAAATAAACCACATCATCATCTTGTAGGTTTCTTTGGTTTTCGTATGCCCAACGGTTATTGGTTGGTGCGAGTACCCTTTCACTGTATTGGCCTTCTTCAAATCGCTTGAACGGCTGATTCAGTTTAATATTGAAGGCAACGTTTTCCACTCCAGCCACATCTGTGAATTTGTATTTTATTATTAAGTGCATATTTATATTTATAACTTATGTTACAAACACGATTTGTAAAAAATGGGAAAATGTATATTTCCCACGATAAGAGCCGACCAATGAATTAAAAACAGGCATCTGTATCTCTTCAGGTTAAGTATTGCAAAAAAAAAGTCGTTTATATTTTTAGAGTAAAATTTTGTTGCTCTTATCAATTTGAATGCCGAATCAGAATCATTAGATGGGAAAAAAAATTAATGTTTACCTGGAATTGATACACGAAATCCCTGCTCAAGCAGTTCCAATTTAGGTGAGGGTATTTGATATGCAAAAAAACTCCAAAATTGGCTTGTAAACAACACAAACACAAAAAAATATCTGTACATATTTTTTATTTTAAAAACTCATAAAACTAAAAAATTTTATGTTAGACGAGCGACCCCCACACAGTTACTTACTCTGTGGTTGAACGCTTCAGTGTGACTGATTTCTAGCCAGGCAAGACTGAGTTTCACGATTTAAGCTAAGCCGTTCTGCAAAATCTCAATCTCGTTTCTTTGTTTCTCACGTCTCTTTTCTCGAACTCCTAGAGGGGAAATACTTTTGGGAGGTGTGTAAAACAAAAAAACAATATTTTTACTAGATTTTAAATTCTCAGTTCAATAATACTAATTGTATCTCACTTAAGGTCATCAATTTTTATTACCAGTACTAGATGTTGTTTCTGTTGAGTGTGTGTAGCCTTCAGAAATCTTCACTCTACATAAATATACATTACAAAGCTTCATTCTTAACATATTCAGTGGTCAGGGAAGTTGTTTACGTTCTGAAATTTATGCTTTAATTGACAGCTTATAAAGATTTAAGACTAAGATACAAATTGATTATTATACTAATACTAATTGTTTAATGCAGATGGGGTTGGGTTTTAGATTTCTTTTAGTAATGTGTAATATTTTGGTTTAATAGAAGTTAAACCGTTTTTGAAGCATTTAATGTTATCATATATGTTGAAGAATGTAATATATTTCATCATAGAAATAAATTACTGTCACTTGACACAAACAGCTTAATTGGTATAAACATATGAAATGCAAACGTAATAGTTGCTCTAAAATTCTACATCTCCTTAAGCCGCTGTTTAATAATAATCGCTTCAACCTCAAAAATAGAAGTTATTATATACTCAAATAATTAGGCCAGCACTACTGTACGGATGTGTACGGATGTGCAAAGCCTCAAATAGTGTCATAAAGCAATTACACATAGCACAAAATCTGGTTTTAAGAAGACTAATTAAGATTCTTACAACAGACATGCATAGAGATCTAAGAATTGATTCAGTGAAAAAATATATCAAGAACAGAGCCCTAAAATTACTCACAAAAGTTGATACGTTGCCTAGCCCCGCTCTAAAGTGGCCTTTAGACATCAACGCGCGTTGACAAACACACGAAGTCTTCTCTCTCCATTACACATTAAATTTACCAACAATTTTTTAAACACACCTCCAGCAAACAATGCAAAATTTGTTCACTCATCAGTATTAAAGCAATCGCTGAAGTGTCGACAGCGGCTGCTATGCGTAATTTCCTTACGAAAAATAATGTTTTACATTTAATTTATAATTTTAATTTATATATTTATATTTATTTTTATGATTTCAATTTATATATTTATTTTTATATATATTATATTTTATATAATTTAATTTTTTTTTTTGGTATTTTTTAATAACAAATTTTCCGTAGGTGCACAATGCAATTAATATTTAAAACAAAATTTTTATTGTAATTTAATGTTTGGTTATTTTTTTTTAGCCCAAGGTTATTAATATTTTAATTCTTCTTAATAAAATGTTTTGGAAATTAAAAAATTTTACCTAGGTAGAAAATACAAATATTTAAAATTAAATTCATTCATATTTGCAAAGCATCGCATCCTAACGACAAATCATGCGTGCATTTAAACGATGTTTACGCTTCCATTTCTCAAAATAAATAAAATTTTGCATGCCGACCAAATCCGACTGTATATGCAAAAACACGAGCATGTTTGAAGAAATATCAAAATGTTTTGATTTTCGTCAACACATTTCTTAAAATTTCAAATGTTACTATTACACAAACAAATTTCGCATTTCACAAAGTAGGAGAAAAGTAGGAGAAAAAAATTCTCTTGTGAGAGCGATTTTTTAGTATATTTGTTGTTTTATCTTGGGCGTGTTTTAAAAATTGTTAAAAAATTGTTTGTGTAATGGCAAGCGCGCGTTGACAACGAACGTTGCTGT